AAGTCAGTTTGGGTCTTATCACTGGTAGTGTTGCCTGGCTTGACAAACTAGGCTGTGGTTTGCTGTGGTGTCCATATCAAAATTTACTTCTATTACATCAGAAGGAAAAAAAAAAAAAAAAAAAAAAACAAAGACTACAAGTAAGCTCTTCCTCTGTTGCTGTACCACAGTGTCTGCTTTTGTGTAGTTATGACATTAACAGTACTTGAACATCTCTTGGTCATCCTCTTCCCTCTGCATCCCAAAGAGGAAGTCGTGGCCCTTGTTCCCCTCTGACTTAAAAATTTAGAATCAGCAGTGCTGTGTCTGTGGTTTAAAGAAACAACCAAAAGCCAAAGCCCCAGAATCCTTGACACAGCCCCAGGAAATAACAAAATTGCTCTTAAAGAAATCTGTGCAGCATAAAGTACCTATCTGAGGGGTGTGAATGTTTATAGGAAGGCGTATGAATCAGAATAATCTAGGTTGGAAGGGACCTCTGGAACTCATTGTGTCCAACCTTCTGCTCAAAGCAGATGAGGTTGCTCACGGCCATATTCAGGCAAGTTTTGGACATCTGCAAGGATGGAGGTTATAGCCTCTCTGAGTAGCATGTTCTGGTGTGTAACCACTTCATGTTTTGTGTCTGTGTGGGTTTTTAGTTTTATAATTTAAAAATTCCTATGTATGATCAGATTTTTCTGTCTTGCAATGTGTTTGTTGCCTCTAGTCCTAGTCACTGTGCACTTTTGCAAAGTCTGTCTCTCTTTTTTGTCTTGCAATTAGGTAGTTGTGTAAAGCAGTAAGATCTCTGCCTAGTCTCCTCCTCTTAAGACTGAATTGCAGTTAATATAGATTGTACTGCATACAGTTAAAACCTCAGTATTCAGTGCCTGTTTTTTTACAGGGAACATATGAAAGAAACAGTATCTGAACAGGCTTGAGTTATACACTGAGCTGTGTATATTAGAATGCATCTTCAGTTACTGAAAACTGGCTATTGAAGTGCTATGAAATCTCCGTTCTAATTCTTTAAAAAATGCTTGGAAAACCAAGGCAGAACTCAACTCTGACTGGAGAGATGCTAGCCTACGTGCTTTCTTGTCTAAAGACTTATTCTTACTTCAGTGACTTCTGTGCTCAGATAAACGAAGGTGAATATGCCCTTTTAAATGGCATGTTGTCGGATTGATTTTAACTTTATCCAAAGTCAGTTTTTTTATTAGCGCTAGTGATTCTCTAAATTAAAAAGTAAATAAAAAATATGCTTGTTCATGCTTTACTTCCAGCAAGATGTTCTTTGTGTACTAGTTGCATGATAAGCAGCGTGCAGGCAGGTTATTGGCCTAAAAGCTTGGTATAGAAGTTACACATATGCAAGGCAGTAAGTACTAACTTTTGAGGTTATTCTTCCTGAGGCTCTCTGCTGTCAGTGCTGATGTAAACTTGCCCTTGCAACAGTTGGTGCAAACCAAGACTTTGAAAGCAAGACTATTCTCAAATTTTGAGGTATCTATAGCCCATGAGACAGTCTTGCAGTAAAAGGCAGCGCTAGATTAGCGGCTCTAGAGGTTTCTTTTTGAAGAGCTAAAATGGTCTGAAGTGTTCCAGACAAATATATGCTCTATTGATCCAAGTTCTTCATTAGTTCTTCCTCAGTGAGCCCTTGTGGTGAGGAAGTAACTTGGAAATTGTGCACTATTTCTTCTGTATCCATTCTTAGTCTCCAGCATCCCTTCCTCCCCCTCACCTCCATATAAAAGACAGTGCTGTACTGAATTTAGGCTTGTTTTAACATCCTCGAAATTGCTGCTAAAGTAAGACTAGAGTGGGTTGGTCCACTGGGTTGGTCCATCAAGCAATTCTAAGTCTATCTTTTTTTTTTTTCTTCCATTTTATTTTGAAGCTGCAACACTGACCTCCCAGAATTGGTTTAAGTCAAATATCTAGAGAGAATTTATAAAGGATGAACGCGTCTTCCTTTTAACACATAAGTGCCAGGATAGAGCTTAGAAAGGCATCCTTTCTGAAGTTGTAAATCAGATTTCTCAATCTACCTCAAAACTGTTTAAGTTTTTTAATTGTTTGGATCCTCTAGGGGCTGAGTAAATTTATAATTTTTCTTAATGTTGCTTTATCAGGTGAGAACAGAATGTAGAAGCCATTCAGCAACTCCAGGAACTTCTTAGCATGTAAAGGACTTGATATTCAGTGAAAAAATGAAGATACTGCCATACAGTTTTCCTGGAAAGACTTCAAAGGTTTTTGGACAAATATGAATGGCTTCAGGCTTTCTGCAGCTCACTTCCTGATGTCAAATGTGCTTTGTTGACACATTTCATTGTAATGAGCAAAACCTATTATTTGAGGACTGTATGATAAATATAGCTGTATGCCTGTACCATTGTAAGATCAGGGAACTTTCCTCTCTTCTACCTCATCTCTTGAACTATCAGTTGCCTAGTTTTTGTGCTGATTAAGCTGGCCGTGGAACCGTGTGGCCTACTTGACCTCTTCTGCTTTCAAAGCTATTTCCGTTTGGGGCAAAACCCGATGTAGTTTTAGCTGCTTGTTTGCACCTTGCCTTGGCCTGCTGCCACTGCTTCTGATGACCTCCTACTGCCTCGGCACTTAACCACCTTGGGGAAAAGCAGTAGCTGCAGACCTTGGTCTCAGCTGTATGCTGCTGTTGTTATTTTGCTATGGTTGTGGTGGCTGGAATTGCAAGAGGGCAGCCAAACAGCAGGGGTTGGCCCTTCCCAAGTTGTGTGGTGCTCTATGCAATGGCTTTCATTTGGTATTTTATCAGTAGAAAGGGAATGAAAGACAGATGCTTCCCTGTAGCTGTGTTAAATGGGCCATGGTATACTGAGGGTTAAAATAGGTCTAAATTCAAACATTAAGTATCAGTTGTGAATTTAACTGGCGTATCTTCAAAACTTGTTTTGAAATAATTGGTATATTTTATTCTAGGAGGAAAATGTGTAAGTGGATTATATCCAGTCCTGTAGTAAGATAACATTCTGCTCTCCCTCTTGCAATAGCCACAGGGATTTTCCGTCTGCTTTTGTAATAAATTCATTGAATGAATGTCTTTTTGAGCCTAAGAACTATTGCATCTGTCACGATGTTCCCCTCTCAGGCCTTAATTTAGTAGCAGTCTAGACCTGGTTTTGTATGCTACCATTATGCATAATCAAATCTGTACAATTTTCACTCTGGCTTCTGATTTACTACAGGATTTTTGGCTAATGTCAATTAGATCAGTTTTTAACACAGGAATCTTCCTGATGCATTCTGGAGTCCTAATTCTTTCTAGGCATGAGGAGAGTGGGGAGAACAAAGTTTTGGTGGTTGGTTTATGGAAAACATCTCCCGTCGTTCTTGGTTGTGCAAATGGCTTGAAGTTGGTAGGTTGTAATCTGTCATCTCGTACATAGCCGCATTTCTGTTGCATCCATTATGTGTAGTTGTAAAATGCCCTGGGATCATTAGAAAGCCTGTTTGTATAAAATTCTGTATCTAAATTGGCACTATTTGACAAATAGATCTCTCTCCTGTGTTTTCTTTGAGTATATACTTCTCTTCTAAATAAAATACATCTTTTAACCTTCTGATTATTCTTTACCCTTCTGATTACTTTTTAAGGATCTTGTTGTGACTACGTTTTCTTCATCCTAAAGAAAGCGGGACCAGAGGCTAACTGCTCAGTGGAGTGTCACAGCTGTTAGCTACTTACCTTCTTTTGCTTTAAAACTGTTTTCTACTCTGAACTTAAAGATGATGAAGGGTGTTCTTTTGGTTGACCTTTTTTCTTACTGTTTGTTTACCCTTTAGACTATGCCTTAAAGATGAAAGGCTTTTTTGTTATCTCATTTGTTCCTCTGGTTATTATCTGCTGAACCTGATATACCATCTGGGGAAACAGATCTGTGGACGCACAGCGTGGGCCACAGAGAGCAAAACTAGCATTAGCTACGGACTTGTCAAGAAAAGCGTCATTTATTTTATTGACAAACCTCCGTCTTCACCCTGCAGTTGTTTGGAACTAGGATTTATCACAGATTGTTTAGGGGAATGGGGAGTCTTTAGTAAGTGGGTATCAGTTTGTTTATTTACCAGAGTAGGAACACTTTGTGCTTGTGTTCTTAAATGTGCTCTCTGTAGGACTGGAGTTCTGTTTGTAGTATGTTGTAAAAAGGCAATGCTCGCTTTAGGAGCTTTCTCCAGCCTCCTGGCATAGCACTTCTGTTAGCTTCCAGGTTTTTTTAAGCAAGCGCAAATGCTCATGCTTCTGATGCATCTTTCTCTGTCAGTGCTTTCTGGTTGGATTTTTTTGGGGGGGGGAGGGGCTGGCTGTGCAGTTCATTTTTTTTTTTTTTTTTTTTTTTAATTCCTGAATCTCATGTCTCATATGGTTGCTCATTTTGCCCTGTTTTATTTTTGTGAAATATGGAGAATGCTTGCAAAAGATATGCAGCTGACTCCCTTGGTGTGTCATCTGAATTTAAATTCACTATATATGCACATAGGGGAAATCCTACAGCTAGTATTGTTTGCTTGCTTAGAATTGCCGAGCAAAAAAAGCTGTATCGCTGCTGCAGCTGTAAAATGCTATGGCAGAGAGTTTCAGTTAAGTTATGGTAATATATTTCTAGGAGTCATTGTTTTCTAGCAGTGGTATATCTACACAGTGTGGTAGTATATCTACACAGGTGTAGATTAAAAGTGAAATGTCTTTTATGTGTCTTAGTATTTAGCCTCAGGCACACCTCGGGGATTTGCACCTTAGAGGTGTAAATGAGTGTGAGGAAGAAGAGCCATGACATTGAATATTTTTTGTCACTTATAGGCAGGTGCCAAATTTTACAAATTAATCACTAGCTATAAGATGTTAAGGGCCTCTGTTTCTTTGTAGGAAACAGATATTAACAGCTCACTGCAAAATACATGTATGATGCACATCTGCTTGGAAGGTTTTTGCATTATACCTTAGGTGGTATTTGAAACTTGAAAGTAAGGTACAGGAGTGGCAAATCAGCCTTATGGATTTTTTAACTCTCTTCCAGGACTCATTGTTGGGGTAATTTTGAGATATGGGACTCCTTCTACCAGTGGCCATGATAAACCGTTCAGCTGCTCCCAGGAGAACCGGCCATTTACAACCCTGCTGGTCAATGTCAGTGGAAAGTTCTTTGAATATACCCTCAAAGGGGAAATAAGTCCTGGAAAGATCCACAATGTGGAGCAAAATGACATGTTGCGAAAGGTGAGGGTAGACAATTTCTTGTCAATGTGTACTGCCTGGCCGCGTATTTCTCCTGCTTTGTGCTTTTTATCTGTGCTTCCCTCCTGTCCTCCCAGTTGAATGTTAGGTGGCATTAAGTGTCTGTGTTTCTGATGGTAACAACATTTCAGGGCTTAATTCAGAAGCACCTTATGTATCATATCGCTGCTAGCAAAGCTCTGTGCTGTTGCCAGCGTGTGGTGCTTTCCCAGATTCTTTGATTGCTCTTTAAGACTTAATGGATGTTGCTAACATCTGTAGAATTCACTAAGATTAGCTGTATTAGAAAAAACAACCTGATACTTCCTTGTATAACAAAATATAAGGAAAAATGAGCATTAATTGTTTTTAGTGGTTTCTTTCCTAGGATTTTTTAATCTCTTTATTTTCAGGAAGGAGTTATTGTTTTGCATCCTCATAGTCCACCAAATGAAGCAATCTGACATTGGGAATAGAATTCATCTGGCCAACTTTAGCTCAAATCTACTGTTCAGCTTCAATGGCAGGAATTAAACACCTTTGACATGTAGCAAAAGTAGACTTTGAGGTATAGGATTTGTGACTTTAGGATTGTAATCTTCTTCCTTCTGCTGACTTACAAAGAGAGCTGAGGTGACTGCATGTATACCTCTATCTGCTATAGACATCAGGAGTTAAATGAAATGAATCCCATTTGGGAAGTGAGTGTACATTTGTGTGCAGGTTTTCTAACCTGTGCTTAAACACTGGATGAAGAGGGCATAGCTAATCTCACATGTATGCAGGTCATCTGTTTGGATTTTAAATGTTGTGTTTGTCCCTTCCTCACTCTATGCTTTTTCATGGATATCTGCAGCTTCCACTGAGATACTTGCAAGTGATGGATGATCCCTCTTCTTGAAAACTCGTCTTATATCTGTGACTTCATTGGTTTATAATGACTATGCTAGTGGCTAGACTCACACAAAATACAAATAACATTTCATCTGCAAATTCATCTAATATCACGATCTGCCACAATAAGGGATATCTTCTCCAGCGTCATTTCTATTAGATTTTTTTTCCCTTTAGAAAGGGATTGAGTCTTGCAACGGCTCCAGACAATCAGGGGTGATGGATGTAATGTTTGTTTTTCTAGTTGCTACTTACCGTGAAAATCTGCAGCTTTTTTCTTTTTCCTGCTGCCTGTGAGTAGACCTGGCTAGTATTTTGGAGGGGCAACCTAGCAAGCTGTTTGCTATTTCAACAAGCAAAAACCACAGTTTTCAAGAAATTGAGGAAAAAAAAAAAAAAAAGAACAAATTGTATGTCTGTTTCTAATTCAGGTTTCACATTTAATTTTTTAGGTAACATTTGACCCAGAAGTTTTTTTCAACATTCTGTTACCGCCTATAATTTTTCATGCTGGTTATAGCCTCAAGAAGGTAAGTATAATCAGTTCCTGAGGAAAATATCCTTCTATTTTTAATGTGAGACTGCTGATCTATTCAGCAGTGCAATCTCCATTTCAACATGTCTTTTATGGCAGTAAGAAAAATCTCAGCTGGCTAGATCATATTTTTTTAAGAAAAAAATCTATTATTTCTTACTGCAAGTGCATTAAATTTTATTTCATCTTATTGATTTGTTTTCTTTTGAAACTTGCCCCTGGTTAGCATTAGCTGCATTTAAACTAAGGGATGTCTTGCCGTGAAATGTTCTGGTTCTTCCTGAATGTCCAAAATGGAATAAGTTACCCTGAGAGGTGGGCCCAGACCTGAATCCTGGTGGGAGTGTTTGAGTGGCCAGAAGGCCCAGATTGTGCTCTCACCTGAAGATGTCATGATTACTGATGTGGGGCCAGCTTTTTCTTAGATTTGCAGCCAACTCTTGTATCTATTGTATAAACACCTGTTTGGAAAACTTCCTGTCAATAAGCTCTGGTTAGGATTTAATACATGATTCAGATTTGCTTCATCCAATTTATTGAAGTTGGATAGAATTTACATTGCAGTAACTGAAACCTTCATCTGGAATGCTAGGGTCTTTCTGTGTATTTATGTAAGTGTAAAGTTGTGCTGTGTGTTTTTGAATGGGCGATATCACTTTTTTAAATGAGTATATAAATTTCTTTATTATGCAGAGACACTTTTTCAGGAATTTGGGCTCCATTTTGGCTTATGCCTTTTTAGGAACAGCAGTCTCTTGTTTTATCATTGGGTGAGTGAAATTTGTTATATCAGTTCCATTTTATATTAAAGTCTAAGTTGATAAAATAAATGTCGAGTCTTCCAAATTGCCTTCGCTTTGTGATTTATCTGTTAGATGATTTTATTGGTGTATTCTCCGGACACAAATTCATACTTAAATTTTGCTGAGTTTTATCGGACCTTTAAATAGTACTATGTCCATTTAAACAATATTGCCAAGTGTTAATCACTTGACAACTCCAGAGCACTGAAGAGCAGTATTCAATTTTTAATTATTTAGTCCAAAACCAAACCTCAGATTCTTATAACTTTCATCTAGATGTAGCTGCTACTTGTAATAGAATTGTAGCTATCAGCTTTTTAGAAATGTCCCTTTCAGCTCATATGTATATACATACATACATACCTGGACAGGTTCACAGAATAGTTGTGGTTGGAAGGGACCTGTGGAGATCATCTGATCCAACCCACCTGCTCAAGCAGGGTCACCTAGAGCAGATTGTTTGGGATTATCCGTATGAATATGTGTATATGTGCACGTTTTTATATACACACACACACGTGTGCACACACACATACACACGCACACGTATTTCATCTAAGATAACTAGTCGCAGTGGTTTACTTGCGTAAAATCATTTAAACTGCAAACATTATTGTGTATCTTTGGTGCAGGGGTATGCTGAAATACAGAAATCCTGAATTGCACAGGTGATCTTAGTTTGTTATTCATAGAATTTCAGAAAAGCAAAATACTTTAAAAACTGCCCTTAACCGCAGAGCTTTTTGTTGGTTTACTGTGTTGGGAGAAACAATACTGAGGGGAGTTTTAGGCAGGGAAGCAGTCCCTTCAGTGGAAGAAAGAAATAATCTGTAGATTATGTGTGCTAATAGTGTGAACAAATTACATGTTTTGCTTAAGGTTTTTTTTTTTTTTATGGTATGCTGGATCATAGCTCACTCTTGATTCAGCTCGTACGGAAAAGAGGAAGATTTAATTTTGAGAGCTTAGGAGTTCAACTGTGGCTGTGTTCCACAGAGCTCTAGCATAACAAAGTCCACCTGAAATACGTTGCTTGTGGTTTTCATTTGCCTGTCTGAAATGCACCAACTTATTTGAAATGCGCTGTTTTATCCTCTTTCTCTTCAGGAATCTTATGTACGGTGTGGTGAAATTAATGAAGTTGGTGGGACAGCTGTCTGATAAATTCTACTATACAGACTGCCTCCTCTTTGGAGCGATAATATCTGCCACTGATCCAGGTAGTTTGCTGAGCAGTTTTTAATAGTGTTCCAAAATGATTCCACTAATAGGATTGCTGGCTGTTTAGCACAAACATATTAACAGTACTTTTATTTTCAGTTATGTTATGTTAATCTCTCTGATCCTCTCTTTGAAATGCACACAAATTCTGGGTGTGGTGAAAGCTGTTCTCTGCCCGGTTGGTGCTGGCCTAATAAGATATGATGGTATGCTTGGGGATGAATGTAATTTTCCTGTTTAAATATTTTACTTATTTCAAATATTTTTTCATAATAGATTTTTTTAGTGTGCATCAAGTGTAAGACTGCAAATAGCTGACATTATTTCACTGTCTGGGTAGCAAGACTTCTGTAGCTATGTTGTTTAAGACATCAGATAATTCTTGAGCTGTATTTGGGGAGGGTAGCTTTTTTTTTTTTTTCCCTCCCTTCAGATGAACTTCACGGTTTACAAATTTAAGCAGAAGAATGCTCTTGTGGCAAAGTAATTTGAACTTTTGGTAGAAAACCTAGTATCCTTCAAAGTGCTACAGGCTCACACAGATGTCTGTGCTTGACAAATCAATCCGGAGGGCTAGCGTGTATCAGTGTTGGGGGAAGGTAGTGGTGAGGTATGAAGCTTGACATTTAAAACAGGTTGTTTGACATCTTTAGGGTTGGTTTGCGCCTAAATGGGAAGTAGTCCCCATGGTTGAGCTGAGCTCTCAACAGCTGGTGGCTGCACACAGTTTTACCTTTGTGCAAAAAATTGCCATGTGATTTTTTTTTGAAACTCCTGTATAGCAACATCTTCAACATCATTGTCTTTCATTTCAGACTGAAGGGTTTTTGAAAGGACTGTTATAAATATTTAGCAGCCTTACCCTCCTCAAATTTCTGTATGAATGCACACTCCTGTGGCATAATGTGTGCTTTGATGAGCATTTAGGATTATTAGCACTATTTTACAGTGATTGAAATAATAAAATTATGTTAACGGTCCACACAGCCTTAAAAGTTAGCCGGAGGTGCACACAACTTTTTGTTCATTATCTTACATGGAACATGCTTTGCAGAAATTACCAGGGTTTCGGTAAAGGGCTGCCCTGTGCCCGTTGATCTTGGGGGCTTTCCTAGAGAAGCGATGTGCAGGTGGGAGCGCAACAGAGCCGCTTTCTGTTAGTCATGTCTAATCTGTTTCCCGCTTTGATTTTGATCGTGTATTTCAGTTCCTAGGTTTTGTTGCCTTGGGTATACTGGAAAGCCTGCTCTGTCAGTTCACACCGTAATCCTGAAGTCAGTCATTATGATATATATATGCATATAATATACATATATACACTTTTGTTTTGTTTTCTTTTCTTTCTGTAGTTACTGTGCTAGCAATATTTAATGAGCTGCATGCTGATGTTGATCTCTATGCCCTTCTGTTTGGGGAGAGTGTGCTGAATGACGCTGTTGCCATTGTATTATCTTCGTAAGTAGCTGCCTGAGTTTCTACTGTGAAATCACACAGTTATTCTATGTATTTGTCTAATTATTTTTCTGATAAATGTTATTTTAAATTTAAATTGAGATAATAAACATTACAAACCCTTGCCAAGATCCTTTATGCACACGTGCACCATAAAGAAAAATTTGCCTTGAGCATGAGGATGTCCCTTCTGTTATTCAGGCACTGCTATCACAGAATAAAACCTTTTGGATGCCATTTCTAACTTTTCACTGTGTAATTCTGTCTCTCTAGATCTATAGTTGCCTACCAGCCAACAGGTGAAAATACCCATGCTTTTGATGCAGCAGCATTTTTTAAGTCAGTTGGTGTTTTCCTGGGAATATTCAGTGGTTCTTTCATGATGGGAGCCGTGACAGGAGTTGTGACAGCTCTGATATCCTTTTTCATGTTTAGCCCTTCTGGACTAGATGGTACATTCAGGTCCTAGCAGGGCTGCCCTGTAGCAACGTAGACTCTAGCTTGTCCTAATCTGAGTGTGAAGATGTGATCAGTATTCATGTCACCTCTGTCTCTACTTATTCATGGTCCTTTGAAAAAATATGGAATACTTAGTTTGCAAATATGATGGAGATAATTTGCGTGGACTTTTTCTGGCTTTTAACAAGTTGTCTTGGCCATACTATCCGTGGCTGTTTTTATAGCAGTTTATAGCATTGTACCACTTTGTATTTTCTTTCTGAAGTAGAGAATCTGCTTGGCTGGAATGAAGTGAAGCAGAATGTGTGCCTAAGAAGTAAAGAAAATTGCCTTTTATTCTAATGTTCAAGTTAAGAAAATAAAAATCAGATTTGAAATAATTTAATTTGAAATAACACTTTAGTTTGGTCAATTATTATATGAAATAATAAAAGGATTTCTTTTCCTCACCTTTCTCTCACTCCCCTCCTCCTCCAAAATGAGGAGTGCAGGCTTTCATTTCAGATTTGAATTATATGTTTTGGTGCGGTTACTTACAATAACAGCAAGGGGAATGAAGAGTTTGATTCACAAAGTTGCCAGAAGAGAAGGCTAGAAATGAGGAATCGGTTTTAACGAGGGCCCTTTCCTACTTCCAGGAGAACAGGGTTCAATCTCTTCCTTTCCTGTGGAGTGACTGAAGTGGCAATTCAGTCAGTGCTGTTTACCTGTCTTGCTGTAAGGTACTCTGGGGTAAATTACTCTTTCTCTCCTTGAACATTGTGTTTCTCAAGGAATACACAAATGGCTGTGGAGTCAGGCACTGGGATAAACCTGCAGCCGGATAATCCGAGTACCCAGTAGGAACAACAATTAGAACCTATCTTCCAGTGAATGTATGTGGTACCACCAAGGTGGTACCAAAGCCTGTTTGCCAAAAAAAACCACCTCACAAATAAACAAAAAAGCAAGCCCAGCCATGACTGCATATCATCAAAAATTCTAGTGAGATGATTTTACGTGGAGAGGAGGTTGCGTGAAGAGTAATAGTTGTTGAAATATCCTGAGTTATATTTCTGATGTAATGCCAACTTTTAGTTTTTAAGGATTATTTGGACTTCTTTTTCAATTCTACATTCTGAAAAAAATTATGTTGCAGCTTAAGTATGTTCTTGAGACCCCTTTCCCTCTGTTGAGTAGTTTAGAATAATGGTAAGAAATAGGTGTAGTGGGGAGGAGGTGGAGGTGCTTGGGATTGCTTTGTGCTAGGGAGGCTGTCACTGAAATGCAGCCAGCTGTATTCTCCTTCATTTGTGTGCCTATGATGTTAATCACTTGGGGCCTGTTGTAAACACCATATGCTGTGGTAGAGCCCACAGGAGAGAAAGTTTCCACCCGGTCTTCTGGGCTGCCTGAACACTTCTTGCAAGAGGCAGCAAAGGGTACTATGAGCCCCAGACCTCCCAGAACCTGCAAATTTACTTGTGAAAGTAGTGCTGCTTATCACCTTTGCCATCCCTTTTGCCTGTGCTGCCATTAGTTTTCATTTGTGTAATGCTGCAAAGAGCCCAGGATGCAGCTGTGTTGGTGGGTGGAGAATGCTGGTGGGTGATGGTGCAGCCCTGTGTGTGATAGGTGTCTATCGAGGTACTGGTTGCCTTCAGGTGGGGAAGGGGAAAGTGCTGCCTGCTTTGCTGTTTCAAGTGTCCTGGCTGTTCTCGTGCTACCCTCCTGCTTGGATTTCACAGAAGGTGGTGATAGTTACCAGCCTTCAGAAAGATGGGGGATCTCTCTACCGCTCCTGTCAGCCCATGTTTTCTTCCTGTATCTCTTACTAGAGATGTGTGTCGCTTATCTCTTACTAGAGATGTGTGTTGCTGTCTGCACTTCAGATATCATGAACTGTACGGTGTTCATCTGCTGCCAGAGTAGTGACGGGTGGGGACAGGGGAATATGTCACCATGAATATGTGACCAACTCTCCTGTAGTATGTGGAGAGCTATATTTATTGACGTTTGTTTCACTTTTTCAGTAGCTATATGAAATGGTAAATCGGTGTTTCTTTGGTGACATCATTCAAGTTTACACTCCTCTGGAGGATGAACTTGTTTTCTCTTCCCTTTGAAAGACTCAGCTGTTGTGGTTGAGCTGGCTCTTTCTTTAAAGCACAGGGACATTTTGTTGTAGGCAGGATTTCTGTTCTACCTCAAAAGTACAAAAGTAGCCATACTTGCTGAAAAATGACTTGTCAACAAATCTGAACAGAACAATTCTGATAAATCTACTTCATTTTAGAGTTCCTGCAGTCAAGAACTGCACTGTAAACTAAAAATTTCTGAATTCTGTATTTTATGCTTTATTTAAAAAAAAAAAAGGGGGGGGGAAGGGCTTTAAAAGCAACATCTGAAAGGAAGATCAAGTATACATCCCTTCGCTACTGGAACTTTGCAGGCAAATGTGGCATAGAGCAAGGTATCTTAGTTGAAAGAGGTGGAAATATCTAAAACAGGCAACTCCTGCAAGGGGAAACATTACGCTTAGTTTCTCCGTTCTGAAGTTTGTCTTGGTATAATGGAATTGACATTTTTCAGCACTAAGTGTCTTGTTCTCAGACTAGCATTGGTTGTTAGTGCATATAAAGGCTTTTTATGAATGTTAGGTACAGAGAAGCCAAAGACACATGTGTTTTTGATCCCTTAACCAATGTCTTAACGTGACCAAGTTTACTAAGTTGCACTGCTTCCCCCTGCTGGAAACGGCTCTCTTCTTCTTGATGTCCTGGAGCACTTTCTTGCTAGCAGAAGCTTGCGGATTTACTGGTGAGTTATTGAGATTCAAGCACGCATGGATAAAACTCCTGTCTATCTTAGCCATTTTAAATTTGCTCTTCAAAACTTTCCTATGAGAAACATGATGTAAGTGGTTTGGGCTTTTTCATGTTTAGTACAATGCCATCTAAGGCAGAGCTCACTGTATAATGACAGCATTTAAAAACATCACTGATTTGTTTCAAAACCCCCCAAAACCTGGAATATGACTCACTTAAAACTGAGGTTCATAAAAATCTCAAGATTAAGGATGCTGTATAAATTTAATAGAATTTGAGAAGGGAGATGAGCATGGTGTTGAGCTAACATGGTAAACAGACTGATTTTTACATGTAATTATGGTCACAGGTGTGGTAGCTGTCCTCTTCTGTGGAATTACCCAGGCACATTATACATACAATAACTTGTCAGTTGAATCAAGAAGTCGCACTAAACAGGTAAGACATTGCCATTTACCTTTTCTGTAGTGTACCATTGTAATATTCTGTGTATTATTGTTTTTGAAAAACGTCTTTATTGCTTGACCTTTAACATGAGACTGTTTTCTCCCTAGCTCTTTGAGGTATTGCACTTCCTGGCTGAGAACTTCATATTTTCGTATATGGGTTTGGCACTGTTTACTTTCCAGAAACACATATTCAGCCCAGTTTTCATCATTGGAGCTTTTGTATCCTTTCTCGCTTTGTGTGAGGTTTCTTTATTATCCTGAAATATATGTGCCTGAAAATCTGTGGTATCTGCTAGCCTTAACAATTTAAAGTGTGGTGGTTGACTTTAATTTGTGTGTGATACATTGCAGGCACAAGAATTCTGAGAACAGTCTTTGGTTACTCCTTATATCAAAGCCATTAAGGCTTCCATGCCACAAAATTGGCTCTGCAACAGAGCAAGTGCTGAAAGCCATGTAAATTAAGTATATATCTAAAAGAATATGCTTGGCTCCTTGTAATCGCAGCAGTGCAACTTTTGACATTGGATTTTGAAATCCTCTTCCTAGTTAGGAAACCTCAGTATTGCCAGGAGGGAAAGGCGACATTCTGTGTTGCGCTTCTGTCAGCACAGGCGAACTGAGTTACCTTCTTGGGAAGGATTGAGCACCTGCTACTCAGATATGAAGAAAAATTTAATCTAAAGGTAAAAACTGAGGTACCATGATGCCAGGGAATTCTTTATGAAGGGCAGTGACTCGCCAAGGCAGTGTGAAATGAGCTGTTTTCTGTGGGGTTTTTTTGTTTAATCTTCTGCCTATTTTCTCCTAGGATGTGAGGGATTTATTAATGGTCTTCAGGACTCTGATTTTTTTTTTTTTTTTAAACTGTTCCTCTCCCATCCCAAATGCACACCTCGCTCACCTGGAAAAATTACAGCAGATTAATCTGAGAGGCTCTGTATATGGAGTGGAAGAGAATGGGGGAAGGAAACAGAGATAGAGAGAGAGTGGACTTCTGCATATCATGATGGGGCATGGATGTGTGTCCAGATTTGGTTGCCTTACAGTGAACCTAAATCAAATACTAATCCATGTTTTTGTGGGAAAGAGCTCAAAAAGTCTTATTTTCCAGACCAAGGAAGTATATTACATTGTACAGATTAAGCACATATAGCAGTATGGGTAAGTCAAAATGAAATTATTTTTTTCTGGACTCCTGATTTACTTAAGCGAGGAATCTTCCTTATTACAGACTGTTTTCTCCCTCCTCCAATGTACAGAACGTGCTTGAATTTGGCAAGTTTTGTGAAAGCAAAGCAGTGTCTTTTCAGGAGGATTTATATGGTTCCAATTGATTTAAAGATATATAGGGTATTATAGCTCACTGACCTTGGAACATATATTACAATAAAATTCCTTTATTCTTGACAACAATTTCCTAAAATCATAGCTGTTTTATCACCCTCCTCTTTCCCACAGTCTTTACTCTGAAGATGTTGACAGCACAGGTAAAAGCATTGTGTGATTTTTTTTTTAGTTTGTACAAATTGAGTAATAGCTTCAGTGAATTTTCTGAATCAGAGCCTCTAAAATTTATCAGGATAGATAATAAGGTAGAAATGAGAATATGACCTTCTAGATTTCCTTCTCCCAGCTTTTCCCCAGTGCGCAATCTTTGCTATGACCTCTGTCCTCTCTCAGATCATGCTATGTGTCTTGGTTTTATTTTCAGTATTTGTTTTGTTCCTTTCTCTTCCTCCCTGCCTTTATTACACTTTTCCCATCTTTTTTCTCCCACGATGCTTAACGCTCTTTGCCACTTCTTGTTATGAGAAAAGCAGTTGTTACTAGCACTCATGTTTCGCTGCAGTAGTCGCTTTCTCCATTTGAAGTGACACCCAGAGGCATTGCTAACTGTTGAAAGAACAAGGTTTGTAGTCATTCTCCCCACATACTTAAATTGACCACAATTGCTTATGATGTGTGGGTTTTGCAGTCCCCAAAATGACTGCTGTGAAAGTTATTCGGAATAATTACATGAAGCTTTCTGTAAAAACAGTAATAATCAAAATTCTGATTTCTTGGAGACATAATTCCCTGCCAGAGGTTACTTTGGTATTCAGCTATGGCAAGAACCCTAAAGTGTCTAGAGTTCTTCCGTAGTTTTGTTTCTCTTCCATAGGAGAGTTGCTTTGTTCTTCTAATGTTGTTATCGCAGTAGCAAATAGTGTTTGGTTTTTTTTTTTTTTTCATTGTGCTGGTGTTTTATAGGATTTCAGTACATTGCTCTACTTTGTCCCAAAGTATTCCTTACTTGATAGAGGAAATATTCAGCCTTCTAGTTATTCACTGGAGCCACTGGGTGCTTTATACCACAGTAAGGGAGGGAAAGAGCTTACCACTTGCCATTGTCGCCTGAAAAACTTTTTTACTACTCTTCTGGAACCTCATTCTAGTGTTGACAAACGTCTTTGGATTTTTTTCTTCTCGTTAGTTGTTCTGAATTCTCAAGTGCTTGCCAATCAGTGGGAGACTTTGCCTCTGCAGCAGCTGCAAAGAAATGGCTGCTTGCTGGTCTTTTTCTTCATACTTAAACCTATGTTGGCTTGCCTTCTACATGCTAGGCTGTGTTTTCATTAGTCTGAAACGCACAATCTAACGTTGGTGGTGACAGTTGTTTGAAGTGTGACTTTAAAAGTAAAGTCTTCACTTGTACATTGGATAACTTTAATACTAGGTATAATGTCAGTGTGCATTAAATAGCTTGGTTATATTAGTTGTTAACATTTGCATTCCGTACAATGAGTTGTGTATGTACATAGTTGGTGAAAATTTGTTTTTATGTAAGCAGGAATAACATGAACACTTGATATTGTTTTGTAACCTCCTCATTAAAACAGAAATTTTATATTAGAGCCAAGTATCCAAGACTCTGTTCTTCAGGAAAACGAGATCCTTAACCCTCAGCTATGAACAGGTTGCAATCTTTCTCGGCAGAGCTGCACACATCTACCCTCTCTCCTTCTTATTGAATCTAGGCAGAAGGCATAAGATTAGCTGGAACTTTCAGCATATGATGATGTTTTCAGGTAAAAACCAAAATACTTGCTAATGCAAAAATTTTTTAAATCATAAGAGGGTGGGTTTGGTTTCTTTTTTTAATAATTCACATGTGTATTTCCTGACTAGAAGACTTGTAACTGTTGCAGCATGTCTGTAGCCTGCCCTCAGGTATTTTTCAGCCTTTGCAGAAAGTGTCTTGTCTGAGAAGAGTTGAAATCTTGGAATGCCAGGTTCTGGTAGCAAGCAGTCACCTCAAATTGTGAGCAGAATATTTTCATTTGAAGTGCTAGGCATCTCAAGGATGAATGGGGGAACTGGGACGCATCTCTTCCAGAAAGTTTATTTCTGGATGAGCTGATACATGTGTTGTGCAGAAGCAGGTATCTGCCAAGGTAATCTAGGTATATTTATGAGTGCACTCTCCCACTTAGCTGGAGAAAATAAGATATTTGACTAAGAATTCCTTTACTACTTCTATCACATAGATAGCTCTTAAAGTTTCTGTCATTTAGAGCAAATCATGGAGTGTGTG